GAGACCCACCCGGACGAAGTCCACTGCCTCGCGACCTCGCTCTTCCTGCCGGGCTTCAGTGTCTTCCTCAAACAGAAACCGCGGGCACGGACTTGTCTTTTATTTCAACACTGAGAACTGACACGGGGACCTGGAGAGCCTCCAGGAACGGCGGCAGCAACGGGGACAGGCCTCAGGCACCTGCGGAGCAACAGGAGCGCCAGGCCCCGCCTCCCGTGGAGAACACGGCACACGGCACTCTACTCGCCAGATGCAGCGAGGACAGAGCCATCGGTGCCGGCTGCGGCTGGTCACGGGGGAGGGAGGGGGACAGGGAACCCGGAGAGAGAGGGCTCGGGAAGGAAACACAGGGACCCAGAGACAGACCCGCGGGTGGCGAGGCCCACATGGGTGGCGAGGCCCATGCGCCCGAACAGCAACAGGACGGGAGACACACAAAAGCAGAGACGGGGCGGCCTCCCAAAGCCATGACTTTGGGGAAGTCCCTGATGGGCACAAACCCGGGTCCCTTGGCTATCAGTCCTCGCACCACATGCAAATGAGACCATGTTACGTCGCTGCCCACCGAGAGCTCACGGTTCTCTCTCCGCCTGCTGGTGACCAGTGACGGCCAGAGTCCAGCCCCTTCCCCGGACGCAGAGCTCTCTCGGGACAGGGGTCTCGGTGGCGCCTCCCAGGACCGCGCACTCTGCCTCCGATGCTAATGTGTCCAGTTCCGTTAGAAGCAGTGTGGCTCTCGGCTCTCAGAGGGGTCAGGAAAGACAGCTATTCAGTGTGAAGGGGTGTTGTGTCCACGGCTCCTCTGGGGGCTGCGCCAGCTCCCACTGAATTAAACGCGTCATGTCTACCTAGATTTGTGCTGAGGGGTGTGGGGGGAGAGATTAGCACAAAGATCCCCACGTGAAAAATATAAAACTGGTTTTAAAACATGGAAAGCTTCCATGTAAAATACAATTAAGACCTGAGCCCCACCAGCGTCCCAGGAACCAGGAGGTCAGGGTTCAATTCCCGACCAGGGCACATCGATCCCCAGCAGGGGGCGGGCAGGAGGCAGCCCATCAGTGATTCCCATCACTGATGTTTCCATCTCTCTCCCTCTCCCTCCCTCTCTCTGAAAACATATTTCCTTAAAAAACAATCTATTTTTAAAAGAGATTCAACACATTAAAGTCTAACAACATAAACATTAAACCAGTAAACATTACAAAGTCCGTCCCAAGCTGCGGTAATGTATTTCCCACAACCGGCCTAATCTGGTTATAACCGTTCTTTCCTTCTCAACCGTAAATGAGTTAAATGTACTCGGATGAAGGAGAGAAGCCCCAGAGTCAGCAGGGAGGGGCGCGGCCCTGAAAGGCGGAGGAGTCTACCCTTCACCCGAATAATCAATAGGATTATTTCTAAAAATCACTCCATACAACCGAACACACGGCCTGTCACTGGCTTTCACACGCCCACCCACCCCCACTCCTCAACTCCCGGCTTTCTCCATCCATCAGCTGCTCCTCCGCCCGAATCGACCTCCGGCTAAGCTTTCTCCGTGTGGTGACTTCCTTCCTGTGGCATAAAGATACCGTGTGAGCAGCACAGCTCGTCATATGAAACCAGGCATGTTAGCGAGGCTGCCCCTGGCTCCTGCCCACACCTCACCCCAGCCGCTGGGAACAGTCCCCCAGGGGAGACGTGTGAGAGCGTGTGTGTGTGTGAGCATGTGTGTGTGCGTTTCGGGGAGGGCTTGCACCGGCACTGCCCGCCCCTCTGGGTTGGACACTTGGGTTACCTGGCACCTCGGGCGGCCCAACCCCACGTGTTTCCTATTTGGGAGAAGCGCCCTCACCCCTGAAGCCCCGGTCCCGGCCCACCACAGGGGCCACCCTCCCTGCCCCGC